AGTTAGCATTCAACTCTTAGTATTGTTTTTTCTTTATTCTTAAGTAGTGAGTGCTCATTGCTGACTCTGCTAAGGAAGTGTCCACGAGGTGGAAGACTGGAATTTTTGTCCCTTTAACTTGTTTTGCTAACTTGTACCTCTCTTTTTCTGCAAAAATGCAATATTAGCAAATAAACAGGCTGGAACGGTGACTTGGGGGCTCTGTAGCAAAGAAACTTATTATTTCATACCTGACCTGCTCACACCTTGTTTATAGCCCACAAAGACCCTGTTCAAAATTCTAATCCGTGCACTGTAGGATGACATATATGTGTTGATTTGAGTCACTCAGTCTGACAGACCCTACAAAAGAAGGGTGGACAGAACAGTGGCAGAAGATTGGAGATCCAAATATGTCCACTCCCTGATCTTTGGAGTGTGTGAATATTTTAACTCCTTACCAAAAGTGCTCCTAAGACACAATTAAGATTCTTTTGTAAATTATTCTGGATCATCCTGGATTGATAGTTGAGTGCAATCTGTCATATCCCTAGACCTCTATCATCAAAAGTAGATAATTCTTTCTGCCCCTTATCAGAGGAAGTTGTGAATATGAAAAGATGGTCAGAGGATTGCACTATGGTTGTTTTGAAGAAGGAAGTGGCCATGAGACAAGGAAATAAGTCAAATTTTAGAAGCTTCAAAAGGAAGGAAATGAGTCTTCCCAGAGCTGCAGCTGTTGTAGCCTGCTCACAACTTGTTTTAGCCCACACAAACTCTGTTCAAAATTCTAATCTGTGCACTGTAGGATGACATATATGTGTTGCTTTGAGTCACTCAGCCTATGGTAACTTGTTACAGCAGAAACAGAAAACTAATTCAGTGGGTCACGAGGTTGCACTGGCAGGTAACAGAAGAGTAATGACTGATTTAAATGAACACTATAGAGAATGACTGTGTCAGGGGACAGTGCTGAGAAGGAAGGAGCAGAAGTTCAGTAGCTGCAGCAGGAAACATAAGCACCTCATGTTCTCTACTGGAAGGACAGGAACTGTCATTCCCCTCTGCCTTGTCCCAACCCCTGTATGAAGCTCAAAAAACATCTTGTAGACTCTCCCCTGTCCTCCCAGCCTGTTAACAGTGTGCAGCACAGACTTGAGCAGATGACTCCTGCATCCTCCTTGTGACTGCAGTTGTGCTGTCCCCAGCCCTGGGAAGGGCACTGCCACACATGGGCCTCTTCTCCTGTGCAGTTCACTTCATCCAGCCAGATGGGCCCTGATGCCTCTCCAAAGTGAGCAGAGATGGTGGCCTCCAGAGCCACTCCACAGCCCAACTGTCTGCACACCACATGGGCATCATTCAGGTCCCAGCTGTCATCACAGATGGAGCCCCAGGAGCCCTGCTGCAGGATCTCCACTCTCCCTGCACAGCGACTGCCCCCATCCACCAGGCGGAGCTGTCTGCTGTCTGAGGAGACACAGGGTCATGTTAGTGGGCATTTGCACAGAGAATGGGAAGGCTCTGGTGCTCGGGTATTGCTCACCTAAGCAGTTGAAAGTGTGGCTTTCTGAGGCTGCAGAGCCTGCTGGGTCAGGGCAGGAGTCATTACAATGGGGCAGCAGCTGGTTCTGGTTACCTACAGAAGGTAGTAGAGTTGATGAAACTGAATTAAATTACATAATAATCGAGTGATGTCATCTGAAAGCTGTAGTCCCTGATCAGTAATTTCCTATCTTCAGAATTGTTCTCCTAATGATGAATTCTGCTTCTAATCTGACACTTTTGGGCTTTATGTTAGGCACTAGGAGTGACTTTAGGAAAGTGGGATTATGTTAGTACTTCTTGAAAGCATTGCAGAGCTACCAGGATAGCTAGACTTTAGGAGTCAAATGCAGAAAAAAATAAATGTGGGACCCACTATTTTTCCATGGATGCATTTGCCCAGTCAAAGTTAGAAGGTGAGACTAATGATCTCAGCATGTTTTCCAGATTGTTTTGGCCATACACAAATATAATTTGGTTTGAACCAAAAAGGAGGAATCAAGTTACACAACTAGGAAACTTGTATCATATTTTGTGAATTAAAAGTATTTTGTCACAGTAATGGTGTCCAGTTTCTACAAACTTCAATTGTTTTCATATAATGTGATCTATCTTAAATAGAGTACCTGGAAGAGGCAAAATAAAATATTTTATGAAGGTTTTGTATACTTTCTCAAAAACAATGCTGATCCAAAATACCACATAAAATAGTGTTAAATGGAGAACAATGAGAAAAATGAGAAAAATTTTTCATATTAGCATTGGTGTTTCCTTATAAGTAGTTTATGTAATCATGATAAATTGTCTATTAAATGGCATGATGTTCATCTTGGCAGAGAAGTAACCACAAAAATATAGTAAAAATTTGAGAATTAAAAAGTCAAGAGCTTAAAATAAGAACCCAAAGATGAGTAAAAAAAACATTTCATTATCACAGAATAGAAATTGCTAAGTACAAAAATATATAAAATACACTGAGTACATCACAGAAAGATAAGGATAGAAAGTACAAACAGAGACTTGAAAGACATAGTGAGAGAAACTAACATTCCTATGTTATCTATAAGTTTTAGGTATTTAAGTCCACTATAATAGTGCTAAAAGTACATCTTAGAAAATATATAGTCAGATATTCAATACACATATAGCTTTAAAACATATCCACAGAATATGTGGTGCTCTATCCATTGACCTGTGAAGTCCATTCCTCCTTCTCTTGAATCTGGGCTTACCATGGTGAGATGTAAGCAATAGAATGTGATGAAACCAAAATGGCTTGACATAGAAATCTAGCTTAGAAAGTCATGCCTCCTTTTCTTTAGGATGTTTGATTTATGGCATATCTACTGTATATTTGGGAGAGAACATTTATAGGTGGTTCTGTCAATTTCAAGCTACCAGCTATGTGAATGAACTATCCTGGGTCCCAGCTTTGTCAAGTCTTCAAATGATCTCAGTGCCACATGACATTCAAATATAACCTCATGACAGATCTCAAGAGTCAAATGCCAAGACCTTTTCCCAAATTTATGAATCAGAAAATGATGAGTAAAATGAAATGTATTTTTCATTTGTGTTCCTCTTTCTTTTTGGCCTAATATTTCATTCAAATGCCTAACTTACAAAATAAGGATACATTTTTAAGGGTGCTAGAAAACAAATATCACATTACATTTAGAGGAAAACCAATTTGCATCTCAGCTGATTTCTTAACTCAGATGCTCAAATCTCTGTGGTCTTGAAATAATGTATTTCAAACTTTCAAAGAAAATGGATGTCAGCCAAGAATACAATACACAGCAAAATTAAGTTTCATATTTGAAGATGAAATCAAAACCTTCCTTGATAAACAAAATTAAAAAGAATAACTAAAAAGCCCTACACTACAGAACACTCTCAGCAAAATATTTCTTGCAGAAGAATTAAAAAATAAAAGTGAAAAGCAGCAAAGTGAGGAAGCACACTAAAGGAGTAGTCAATCAAAGGGTAAACTACATAAAATTAAAAACCAGAAATAAAACAAAATGACTGGGAATACAAATTATATTTCAATAATATCTTTGAACATAAATAGCCAAAACCCATCAATCAAAAGTCATAGACTGGCATGCTGGTTTTAAATAACAAGACCCAGCAATATGCCTCTTCAGGACATCCACCTCATAGTTAAATACATTCACAGACAAAAAGTGAAAAGATGAGAAAAACTGTATCACTTACATGGTCATGTAAACAAACAGGGATTTCTGTTTTCATATCAGATAATGTAAACTTCAAGCAAATATAATCACATTGCACAAAGAAGGACATTTCACATTGCTTAAGAAAATTATACATGTGTAAGACATAGCAATTGTAAATATTTATGCCTCAAATGGAGCATTTGGGTACATTAAACAAATTCTTCTCAATTTCAAAAAAGAAATGGATCACCACACAATAATACTGTGTGAGTATAGCAACCCTCTATCACTACTGGATAGATCCTCCAAACAAAAGCTAAAAACTACAATCAATAATTTAGATTTAAAGACATTTATAGAGTATTTCATCCATCAACGATCAAAGACACTTTCTTCTTAGTAGCACATGAATCCGTCTCTAAAATAGATTATATCTTATGCCACAAAGCAACCCTTAGAAAATACAAACAAATAGAGATAATGACTTGAATTCTGTTCAATCACAATGGAATAAAATTAGAAATCAAAGATAAAATTCAAGAAATAGAAGCTACTCTGTCACCAGGAAAATAAATAATACACTACTGAATGACCAATTGATTGCAGAAGAAATCATGGATGAAACAAAAATATACTTAGGGGAAATAGAAATAGTGTCACAACATATCAAAACCTCTGGGACACTTTGAAGGCAGTATAAAGAGGAAAGTTCATTGTGCTGAGTTTATTCACTAAAAGAATACAAAGTCAACAAATAAGTAACCTAAGATTACAACTCAAAAGCCCTAGAAAAACAAGAACAAATAAACACCAAATGCAGCAGAGGACACAAAAAAATTAAAGTTAGAGCTGAAATCAATAAAATTAAAACAAAATAAATAATTAAAAACTACCAAAATGAAAAGTTGGTTCTTTGAAAAGAAAAGCAATAAAACAGAAAAATCCTTAGCCACTAAGACAAAGAGAGAAAAAACAAAAATTACTAAAATTTTTGATGAAAAAAGATAAATTACATATAAATACAGATGACAATCAGAAAGTATTTTGAAAATTTATACTCAAAAATAAAATAAACAAAAACTTGAAGACACTGATAAATTTATAGAAACATATGATCTAGCCAAACTGAATCAGGAGGACATACACAATTTGAACAGATCACTTTCAAGCATTAAAATAGAAGTCACCATAAAAAGTCTACCAATCAAGAAAAGCCAAGGACCAAATGGATTCTTAGCCAAGTTCTACAATACCTTGAGAGAAACTGGATATCAGTCAAGATTACAATCAAGTGCTTGCTTCAGCGAAAATGTACTAAAATTGGAATATACAGAGAAGATTAGCATGGCCCCTGTGCAAGAATGACATGCAAATTCATGAAGCATTCCATTTTTTTTAATAAATTGGAATTCACATTGAAAAAGCCTACAGGAGGACAAATGTATAAAATCACAACAGATTACAAACCAAGGCACATTATAACAAAAATGTCCAACATATAGAATAAGGAGAGAATTTTAATAGCCACAAGAGAAAGGAATCAGATTACATATAGGGGAAAATCCATTAAGGTAACAGCAAATTTTTCAAACAGACCCTGAAAGCTGGAAGATCCTGGGATAATGTATATCAAGCTCTGAAAAAAAAAATGAGTGCCAACCAAGAATCTTGTATTCAGCAAAATTAAGCTTCATATTTAAAGATGAAGTAAAAACCTTCCATAATAAAAAAAAAGTTAAAAAGAATTTATAGCTAGAAAACCGGCACTACAAAATACCTTTGGCAAAATATTCTATGAAGAGGAAACAAAAAACAACAATGAAAATCAGCAGAGGGAGGTAGTACCCTAAAGGAAAAACTAATCAAAGAAGAAAATCAAGTCAAGGTAAATAACAAAACTAAACAAATATGGCTGGAATTACAAACCATGTCTCAATAATAACCCTGAATGTTAATGGCTTAAAGTCACCAATCAAAGGACACAGGCTAGCAGAATGGATTAAAAGAAAAGACCCAACTATATGCTGCCTCCAGGAGATTCATTTGATATAAAAAGACATACACAGACTGAAGGTGAAAGGTTGGGAAAAGTCATACCACTCACATGGACAAAAAAATCCTTGGATCAAATAAAGTAGACTTCAAGCCAAAGCTAATCAAAAGGGGTAAATATGGAAATTACATACTGCTCAAGGGAACCATACACCAAAAAGACATAATGATAATAAATATATATGCCCCAAACAATGGTGCAGCCAGATTCATCAAGCAAATACTTTTCAAGTTTAATAGTCAAATTGACCACAACACAATATTCTTGGGTGACTTTATCAAATTTCTCTCACCACTGGATGTATCTTCCAAAACAAAGGTTGAATAAAGAAACTATAGAACTCAATAATACAATCAATATCTTAGACTTACCTGACACATATACAATATTTCAATCTGTGTCAAGAGGATACACTTTCTTTTCAGCAGAAGATGGATCCTTCTCTAAAATAAACCATATACTATGTCACAAAGAAACTCCTAGCAAATACGAAAATGTAGAGATACTACTATGCATTTTATCAGATCATAATGGAATGAAATTGGAAATCAATGACAAAATAAAAAATAAAAATTTCTCCATCATCTGGAGACTAAACAATATTTCTACTGAATGAACAATGGGTTACAGAAGACATCAAAGAGGAGATTAAAAAATCTTAGAGGTAAATGAGAACATAGACACAACATATTGAAATTTCTTGGACACTATAAAGCAGTAATAAGAGGAAAATTCATTTCATGGAGTTCATTCCTTAAAAGAAGAAAAAGTCAACAAATAAATGACCTCACACTACATCTCAAAGCCCTAGAAAAACAAGAACAATTAAACAACAAAACAATAGGAGGCAAGAAATAATTAAAATTACATCTGAAATTAATGAAATTGAAACAAAAGTAACAATTGAAAAAATTGACAGAACAAAACCTTGGTTCTTTGAAAAAATAAATAAAAGCAACAGACACTTAGCTACACTAATGAAGAGAAGGAGAGAGAAAACTCAAAATACCAGCAGACACGACAAAAAGGTAATATCACTACACAAACCACAGAAATACAGATGATAATTAGAAATTATTTTGAAGTCTTATACTCCAATAAAATAAAAGATAGTAGAGGCATTGACAAATTTCTTAAGCCATATGATTTGCCCAGATTGAATCAGGAAGATATAGACAATTTAAACAGACCAATATCAAGTGATGAAATAGAAGACTCCATCAGAAGCTTATCAACAAATAAAAGCCCAGGGCCAGATGAATACACAGCCAAATTCTACAGACCTTTAAAAAAGAACTAATAGCAATACTCTTCAATTTATTTCAGTATATAGAGAAAGAGGCAACACTTCCAAATTCATTCTATGAGGCCAATATCACCCTGACCTCAAAACCAGGCAAAGACACATCAAAGAAAGAAAACTTCAGACCAATATCTCTAACGAATATAGATGCAAAAATTCTCAATAAAATTATGGTAAATTGAATACAAAAATATATCAAAAAATTGTGCACCATTATCAAGTGGGATTCACCCCAGGGATGCAAGGTTGACTCAATGAACAGAAATCAACAAATGTAATTCATAATATCAATACACTCAAAGATGAAAATCATACCATCATCTCAAAATATGCAGAAAAATCATTTGACAAAATATAGGACCCTTTCATATTAAAAAAAGAAAAGCTAGGAATAACAGAAACATATCACAACATTGAAAAGGCTACCTATGCTAAGCTTCAGACCAACATCATTCTAAAAGAAGAAAAATTAAGGGAATTCCCTCTAAAAACTGGAACAGAGATGCACTCTTTTACCACTTCTACTTAACATAGTTCTGGAAAAGCTGGCCAGAGCAATGAGACAGAACAAAGAAATTAAAGGGATATATATAAGAGAAGAAGAACTTAAATGAGCAGTATTTGCTGATGATATTATTCTATACCTAGGAGACTCAAAAAGCTCCACCAGAAAACTTCTAGAACTAATAAATAAATTCAGCAAGTTAACAGGATATAAATTCAACGTCTATAAATCAAGGCATTTCTGTATATCAGTGACAAATCCTCTGAGAAGAAAATGAGAAAAACTACCCCATTTACAATAACCTCAAAAAAAAAAAAAAGATACCTGGGAATCAACTTGACAAAAGAGGTGAAAGATCTATATGATGAAAACTACACAGCCCTAAAGAAAGAAATCAAAGAAGACTTCAGAAAATGAAAAGATCTACCTTGCTCTTGAATAGGCAGTATTAATATTATCAAAATGATCATACTACCAAAAGCACTATACAGATTTAGTGCAATTTCAATGGCATTCCTCAAATAAATAGAAAAAAACAATCATAAAATTCATCTGGAGACATAAAAGACTCATAATAGCTAAAGCAATACATAGCAAGAAGAGTGAAGCAGGTGGAATCACTATACCAGAACTTTAACTATAATATAGAGCAATAGTAACAAAAACAGCATGGCATTGGCACAAATAACAAAAGCAGATTGGTAGACCAATGGTACAAAATAGAGAGCACAGAGACTAACCCAAAAAACTATGATTATCTTGTATTAGACAAAGGTGCCGAAAACATGCATTGGAGAAAAGATAGCATCTTCAAAAAATAGTGCTGGGAAAACTGGAAATACATATGCAACAAAATAAAATTATACCCCTCTCCCTCGCCATGCACAAAACTCAACTCAAAGTGGATCATGGACCTAAAAATTAAACCAGAGACTCTATGCCTAATAGAAGAAAAAGTAGGCCCTAATCCTCATCATGTGGGATTCGGCTCCAACTTCCTTAATAAGACTCCTATAGTGCAAGAATTAAAATGAAGAATCAACAAATATGATGAAATCAAACTAAAAAAGTTTCTTCTCAGCAAAATAAATAATCTGTGAGTTGAATAGAGAGCCTATATCCTGAGAGCAATATTTTACCCCTCACACATCAGATAAAGCACAAATCTCTAGGGTATATAAAGAACTCAAAAAGATAAGCATCTAAAAACAAAAGCCCAATCAACAAATGGGCCAAGGACCTGAAGAGACACTTCTCAGAAGATGATGTACAATCAAACAACAAACATATGAAAAAATGTTCATGTTCTCTAGCAATTAGAGAAATGGAAATCAAAACTACTCTATGATACCATCTCACTCCAGTAAGAATGGAAGCTATTATGCATACAAACAACAATAAGTTGGCAAGGATGTGAGGAAAAAGGTATACTCATTCATTGCTAGTGGGACTGCAAAGTGGTGCAACCAATATGGACAACAGTATGGAGCTTCCTTGGAAAACTGAGAATGGAACCACCATTTAACCCAGCTATCCCTTTCCTTAGTTTATACCCCAAAGAATTAAAAACAGCATACTACATGGACACTGCCACATCAATGTTTATAGCAGCACAATTCACAATAGCTAAACTGTGGAGACAACCTAGATGCCCTTCATTGAATGAATGGATAAAAACAATGTGGTATATATACACAATGGAATTTTATTCAGCCAAAAAAAAAAGAATAAAATCATGGTATTTGCAAGTAAATGGATGGCTTTGGAGAAGATAATGATAAGTGAAGTTAGCCAGTCCCCCCTAAAAACAAAAGCTGAATGTTTTC